ATGAATTACTGCAACCATATCAAGTCATTGAGAGAACAGAAACATGATATTAATAAAATTTGTAAAGTAGTTTTCTGTTGGGTAACGCAAGTTATTAGAAAAACTCATCATTTCTGACATTGCGAGTGCAAAAGATGAAGTAATACAAATATTGGACTGTTCTTGCTGAAGAACTGAATAGAAACTAAATCACACTGGCATTGAATACCAATGGTGTACAGCGATGTTATCGGTTGCGGGGAGAAAGTCTGGAGATCGATCCCTATCTGCGGTGATTATTAACCTTACCTAATAAGACAAATTCACTGGTTAAAGCTACTCGTACTGGATGAGCAGATTTTTTAAAATATAATTTCCATGATGATTGGTATGTTTGTTCTATCATACGAAGATTATAAATATCAAATGTTTAATATGTTTTATGGTTCTTGTGAGGTGTGATGGTGTGATGGTGGGTGTGTGTGTGTGCGTTGTGTATTGGCATGTATATCAAAATATGTTGTTCAGAAGATGTATTTCTTGATTTTCGTATTTTTTCATTCTTTTAAATATGTCTGAAGAATGAATGGATGAAAGTGTAAAACGTTAGTGAAATGATGAAGATCTCTAGAACAGCCTCATTGTCAATTATTGAGAAAGAAGAGAATGAAGGGAGTTTTGATAATTCTCTTCAAAAATACGATTGTCCAACAAATAGTTTGTAAAATGAAAAACAAAAGGTTTCAAATGAAATGCCATAGCCAACTTGCTACCTTCAGTTTCCCAATCAAAAAGATAATTTCTGTGTGTTAACTGAAAGGATAATTAATCATCTATCCTATCTGAATAACATTCAATTGCTTGTCGTGTCTGAACAATTGACGTCCCAATACTCCTTCATCTTTAATATCTCTTTTATTTTCATCTTATTTCTTCATTATCTTTCTAGTTTTCCCTCACTTCTTCGTTGTCAACTACTTATAGTAATTTCAAATCATCCTCAGTTGCATTCTTCCTCATCGTAGTCCTTTCACAGCTGGAACAACTTCTAATTTTTTTTTCCTTCTTTTTAGTTTTTAGACGTCAATTTCTTGTTTTAATTGGAGTTAAAGCCTTTTTTCTCGTTTTTTTTCATCTCACTTACATACACAAACACCAATTGTGTTTAGTATTGTCAAGAGCAACTCCTTATTCATCGGATATTTCTCTCCTCGTTTTTTTTGTTCTCCTCATCCCTTTTCACGTTTCCTCTCTTTCTCTTCATCTCTCTCTCAAACATGATCTATAACTTTCTCTCTTTTTATCTTTGTTCTCTTTTTCTTAATATTTTCCCTTCTCACTTCAAACTCTTGTCTGAGCTTCCAGCAAACTCACGAAAGACAAGGTGTGCAACTATTCGTCCAACTGTCTTTTTATAGAATGAAATTTCCAATATCTTCTCTAAGTCTTCATCAATGCCCTCTTCTCATCCTTTTCATTATTCCATTAGTTTCTGCTTACATCGGTCTGAAACATATCAAGTTGAAAAGTGTCATTCATTTCCAACAGGTATGAAAACAACTAATCAAAAACAAAACATAAGTTGACCTCTTTACAGGGAACGTTGACATCAGCACCATGGAGAATCGCAGTAGTCATGTGCATGAAGTCAATGCCTCCATTTATTGTTTGGTGATAACTAGCTCATAATAAATTGTCTCATAAATACATTCAGGTGTTTCTTCATCTCAGGACCTGCGTCCATCTTCTACTTGATCGGTAGTGGTGTTGCTGTTCCTGTAACCATTTTGACTATTACTCCAATCATTCATTATATTCCTTCACCTAGTATAGTAGCCTATATTCAGCATCGTTTCCAAAGTTGTACAAGTGAGTTTCCTCTTTGTTTCTTGTCCTTTCTCGCAATCAGCTGTAAAACCACGTGGAGTGATCTTACTTCATTTCTATTTCTTCATTCAAGTTGAACGGTTGTGTTTCTCAAACTAGTGTTTTCAGGCCGCAAGTTCATTTCCACAATAGAATGCGTTCTTTCTTTATTAACAAATATATTTTTATTTGTTCACATAATTTCGTTTTTATCCTCCATTTCACCCTACTCATTCTATCTTTTGTGTCCATTGGTTACCTCATTTTCCATCATTTCCATTATATTTTCTGGACATTCGATCATTATGACCATTGTACTCGTTCTACACATTCTAGTAAGTTCTCTGAACCAATACAGTACATGAACTTCATCACCTGTTTCAGTCCGTATTCATAGGATTAGGCGTCTTCCTTTACTTTGCCATTGAAGATGTTACTTCTTTCAACTCAATCGTTCCCATGAACTACAATGTTTCCGACTGTTTCCTCTCATTCTTCATGGGCTTCGTCATATCCTTCTATCAGATCACAGCAAGTCCCAGCTTTTATCAGGTGATTCAGCTCTTCTCTCTTATTCAATCAACCTTTTCAGATTTATTTTCCGTTATCGACAATCTATAAACTTCGATTGAGTCTCATATTCTATGGAGTCTTCCAGTTATTCTCCTTCATTCTCACCTTCATTGTTATCTCGTTGTTCACTGCTTTCCTGGAAAGAAGCTGTCAACATTCCTTCTCATACATCTCCTTTTCCCTCTTCACCAAAGTTAGTTGCATGAACAGTACCTCTTAATAGAATGAAATTCAGACTACCGTCCTACATCATGTGGAGCATTACCTAGTGATCTCATCTATTCTATCATTGCTTCTGTTTGTTTATCAATGGAATATTTTGTACTTATCAACACATATCTGGGAAGAGTTTGCTAAATTCCATTTCCGTCTTACCTCATCTCGAAGACAGCTAGCGGCACTACAGGTACACAATGTTTGAATAACATAGAGGAAAATGAGTCGTTCAGTTCACCATTATGGCTATTGGCATTCTGATCACTAGCTTGGCAATCATCATCAAGTACTTCAAGATACCCTACGACTTGATCACAATATCTGTTCTGTTAATCACTTTGTAAGTTCAAGGTTCAGAGTAGCCGCCTATCAAAAGTTTTTAGAACCATAGGATTCGCTATCACAGCTATTTACCTGTGTGGATACTACTTCCCTTGTTGCAACAGCAAAGGGACATCAACTTCGTTGATTCTCTCTTTCTTTATTTCTATACTAGTGTTCTATCTTTACTTTTCGTATAACGACACTCCTAATTATGTAAATAGTTGTAACAAGTTCACGAACCATACGTCATCTATAAGTATCAGGTGAGTCATAGTATCATTGAACAGGAAGCCTTAACACTCTTATAGATCTTTCAATATGGAAAAGATTCTCATCATGACAGCCCAAATACCTCTGCAGTATCATCCGCTGATCCTATTCATGGTACACTATTTCATTCATTATATTTCTAAAAGTTTTTACTACAGATGGCAATAGGCATTTGTGTCTTCATAAGTTTCCTCACAGGCGGACAGGATCAGATGGTTCTTGATTGGAACTTGGTGGTATTTTCCTGTTCTTCATTACTAAAAGGTTTCTAATCCATCCCTCACCTCAATAGTATTGTGATAATGTTAAGGAAGATCGAAACTGGGAAAGAGATCTTTCATCGAGAGCGAATCATTCCGCTACGCTCAACAATCGACTGAAAATATTTATAACTAACCTCTCATTACTCAAAAACACGGGTTTTCTATTATTTATTGTTTAATAAAAAAATTCCTTACACTCTGGCTCAATCACTGGTAAATCGAAAGGACATACTAGACGAGTGGTCCCACTGCTATGCCAGTCCCATTTTCAAATTAATATTTCGCGCGAACGGTTGTGTTGTGTCAGACTTCCAGCAGACCTGCTGTAAGAGTCGGGAGAAAATAGAAAATATTTGCAGAGCAGATGATTTGAGATCTTTTTTTTTTCTTAATTCCAAAGAGTCAAATGTTTGAAATAAAAAAATAAAATCTCAAATTGAAAGGTATGTGATGAAGAAGGAGGAAGGGAAAACAGAAAATCTTTGTTTGTATTTTCGATGGGTCATTAGTCATATACTTTGGAATAACATAGGGATGGGAAGATTTGAAAAAAATTCAGTTAAAGGTAAAGATGTTAAAAAGAAATTTGTGATCGAAACTGCTGCGTCCATTTGATGGATTTATGAGACTATTACGATCAGTAAAATTCATCTTCATCTTCTTCTTTACAATTCCTTTGCACTTCAATCACAACTTTTCCTGATGGCTAAGTGAAACGAAGTAACATAACCGTGAGATATTCTAACATCTTTTGTTTAATTTCTTTCTTCCATATCGGAAAGGTCAATCAAACCAATTATGGAATAATTCTGGGCGGCTGTTTGAACATACACAGCCAATCATTGACTTCAACTTCTCTCAGCTATTTTTGTTGTGTTTTTGGTTTGTCATCTCTCTCTCTCTCTCACTTTCTCTCTCTCACTTTCTCTGCCTGGTCAGTTTTCTCTTGCTTTCTACCCTTACTACTCAGACTCGCTGTATTTGAAACATGAATAAACTAAATTAAGCCGCATCACTGGTAATTGATGATATCTTCTCTTGTTTTCACTTTGAATTGTTGTCTGTTTTCTAAATTGTTTAAAATGAGAATCTCTGTGTATATGTATCGTCTTCTGATTCCCAATTGTTCTCATTCTAAAGATTTCTCTTTCCTTCTCTCCATTTTTTGTGTCCCTCTCTCTCTCATATTCGTCTGTCAACTGCATCTCTCATTCCCTTGTACACTTCTCGTGTATCTCGTATTTGAAAATCCTTTTTTCCAGTACCAGTTGACTTCTGGTTGAACGATCATTTCATTTCAATAACTACTTGATTTTATCCCTCCTCCTCCTATTTTTATCTCTGAACTTAGTTAACAACGTCTTCTCATTGAAGCATTCCGAACTTTTCATTTTCATTTTTTCATTCAATCGTCTGATTTCCATCCTATACACGACGCCACTTCATACATTTCATTTTTTAAGATTCAACCAATGAACTTTAGCAGCTTCTGTCTTCTAATTGTAATTCTCTGTCATTTTGCTGCTGATTGTCGAAAATTAATCCATTCAACAGCGGTTTGTGTTTTTTCCTCTTCTCTTCGACTTTCTAAACATCTCTTCAGTTGTTTCGTCATGGAGCACGAGCTCCCACCGGTATGATGCTGAATGAATCGCTTAGAGAACTTTTCAAGAACGGCCTAGGCGAACTTACTGATGTAAGCACTAAAACCCAAGCTTTCACATGAACATAATCGAACTTGCAGAAGGGAATCGAAGATTCTTACAATTTGGGTGAATTCCTGAAAGAGCGTTACGTCAAAACAGGATTTTTATCATCTCCGTTCCGCTTAAATGAGGTTCAAATGAACATCGAATGCGAACTGAGAGTAATGTGTGAGATTTAGGTTCGTTTCTTCAGTCGAGCAATCAACCGATGTGTTATGACAGCCAATGCTGTTGCGACGGCCATGTACTCAGATAGTAACATTGGAAAAGCATTCCGAAACACTTTCGTTCCAGTGTATACCCAAGAGAGGAATGATACGGTAATCAATTATCCACACTCCATTGATAATACATACCGTCACCTTGTAGTTATTGAACTATCCATTCACTGTTTGTCAGGAAGAACCAAATTATCTCCGGCAGACCTGCCAAAATGTTCCTGACTTCTCGAGTTTCAACACGGTATTTCGTCCTTTGAGACTCTAAAACAATCATATGTATAGTGGCCAGAGTACGAGGAATTCGTGTTCGAATGCCTGAAATTATCAAAAAACAGTACATTCTTCGCAAAACCCGGTAAATTCCGTGAAGCAGAAGCTTTGATCAATGAGGTAACGGCTTCAGAGACAGTTAGATACTCAAATCAAAAAGTAATTTTAGGAAAAGAATGGCGGGACGATTAGTGCAGATCTACGCGCCGAGTTATTGCCGCTCTATTCAGAAGTTGGAAAAAAACGGAGAAAACATGAGAATGATGAGATAATGAGTGTGTTTGCAGGTTTATCATTTCATAATCGGAAGCGGGAAATATCATAATCGTCGCCTATTACGTATGAAAGGTGGATATCTCATGCATACAGTATTAACAACAATTTTGGCAAAATGGAGATGTTATGTCAACGAAGGCGACAGATGTTCGCAAAAAATCATGAAAACACAGAAATTCGTTGCTTATTCAACTGTAAATTTATCATATTTTGACTATTTTTGGGCCTTTTTTCCAGCAAGATTGGATTTTATCGATATTTATGGAAATATTGGGTGAAACATCGAATGAGATGGCGAACAATGCCGGCCTACCAGACTACAATTCCATGATTCTAATAGAGTTATATGATAACAATTGGATGCCTGAAATTGAGGTGCATTTGTACCAATCTTCCAACTGGACTTACTTCCATTTCAGGTGTTTTACAAAACGGGAGCAGGGGATGATGAACTCATCAACATCACTCCATCCATCAGAGGATGTAAAAAGTCATCTCCGTGTCATTTATCCTTATTTCTGAATTGTTGCAACAACTATACAACTAACGATCCTTATTCGGCTTGCATGGGAACCTTAGCCTAAACAACTAATTTCTTAGCTTCTTCGATAGCATTCCGTAATCCAAATACTGTGTTTTCACAAATTGTTAAACATTTATTTATTGTTTTCCACATACGATTAAATCTTTAAAGATAACTTAATATTTCATTTCTCCACTCCCCTCTACCGAATCGTCTTTGGTTACTGTGTCAACCCCCTCTTCTTCCTGATAGGCGAACTATAATTATTATTTTGAGATCTAAGCTTTTGATCATAAAGTACCTCTGGAGCTGAGCGGTATGGACGGAAGCAGAATCCTTCTCCAAAAAAGAACGGGAGACAGCAGGGTCGGGTTGTTGCGCAAGGCTGGGTGTTACAATAGACAGTTTGAATCTCTACTCCACATCTAAATTTCATCATGAAAGTCATTTTTTGGAACTATGAAAGCACCTTCGGCTTTTCGTTCCGCAACCACCACATAAGGCTGAACACTGCGTCCAGTCAGTGCACGGTGACGCAGTTGTTTTCACAGTTGTTGGGAAGAAAGTTGAAATCACACTATAAAAACGACTTAATTTTTTCTTTAAGAGCAACGTTACTTCTCAGGCGTTGTAGTTGTAGTTGTAGGGATTTGAGTAGTGGTGGTAGTCGTTGAAGGAGTTTCAGTAGTGGTGGTCGTTGTTGAAGGAATCTCAGTAGTGGTAGTCGTCGTGGTTGACGGCGTTGTTCTGGTCGTTGTTGTGGTTGTGGTTGTTGTGGTTGTAGTTGTAGTTTGCACAAGAGGATCTAGATATAAGAAACATGAGAGATTCGCAGATTGAGGAATGTACCATTTCTGTATTGTAAAGTGAATCGCGTGTTAGCACTACCCTTATACAGGACAATGAGTTGATTCGATTCCGATCTCGAAATGGTTGGATAGTTTATACAGAATCTGCAAAAATATCTTAAATCACATTCTGTCAGCTAGTTGTATAACCTAGCTCCAACGACGGTCAAGTCGCTTCTGTATTTTATTTCTAGATAGTTACTAGAGCATGGATTGGTCCTAGTGAAGCTGAACTGAGTGATTTGGAAGAAAACAAATGTTCCAGCAGGTGCCTGGCAGATAAGATATAGTAAATAATCATGTTAGCTCTATCTCTCACAGTTATGAGATAAGCACAATTTCCTGATCCGACCATCGTTAAGTTCCTCAATGTATTGTCTGCTTGGATGTTGGCTGGACCACAAGCCGAAGGATTGGCTGGAGCCTCATTGCAGAGACGACCTGATAATCCATCCGGACAACGACATACAGTGCAATCCTGAAATAGAAAAGTCCTGAGTACAAAAAAAATCTAACACTCACCTTAGGATCTGTATAACCACCGTTTAAACAAGGTAAAACTGTTGTACAAGTTGCTACAAACATATATGATAAACTTGAAAAAAAAAGAAGGAACACGTACAGTTGCAATAGGCGAAGTTAACTTTCTTGATATCGTCGAAAGAGGGTCCTAACCGCTGACCGATGGTACTCTGAAATTCCGATTATGCTAATTTCACATCACGCCGTTTCCGCTCTAAGCGTTTTCATTTTGAATTTTCAGACGCGGCGAACGGTTGTATCTCAGGCTTTACTAATTACCTGATAGTTGTCATCCTTCGTTTCGATAGTTAAACCTCCATTTGCTGTGAAACTCTGTAAGAAATCATCTAGACATAAACCTTTCGATTCATTTCTCTCCATACCGTTTGATCGTAGTGCATAACTGATCCATAATCATATGGTACTCCGTAGGTTACTAAAGATTGCTGGCTCTGCTTAGAAAATTGACTCAATTGACTAGGTTGGATGTTTCTAGTAAACAGTGTTATATAGTCATCTCTATCGTAACGGGCTTGTTCATGGTACAGTCCTAGAGCATGACCTGGAAGCAGATTGTCTTTAAACTTCGATAGCTCTTTTTCACAGCTCACCTATTTCATGAGTCACAGTTCCTAAACTTGTGCATCCTGTTCCAATCATGATCTCTTGTGCGCCAACACCTATTCGTCCTATATAAGACCAGCATCTGAACAGCTAGTTAATCAGATTGTATAAAACTAAAGAAATATTACGCTGTTCCACCAATAAATACTAAAGCATCAACAGTAGGGTAATTATCCAAACGTTGGAACGTCAGACAAGTCTCTTGTTGCCATTTGTTGATTCCAGCTAAGACTGCAGCTTCGCTAACTAGAAACATTGAAACTGATCCAAACATTAGAAAGGTCCAGAACCTCCTGTGTTTCTATTGATAAAATAGGGAATGGGCATTCTGATCCATCTCACAGCCAACGAAGACGTCATTGATCTAGGACGTCGGAGGGTCTGTCCTTTTTTCACACGCAGTAAATCAGCAGTATCACTTTAAATAAGTAACAATAACTATTATCCGTCTTCATAGACTAACCTCAGAACTACTCGGAACTGTTCGTCCGTCAAAAAAATATCTCCTTCGAATAGAAAGGGTAGTTTCTCTGGACGGTACTCTGTAGTATCATCGGCAGCCAGCTCACTCAAACCACTCTCAGGCTAAACATATGTTTTGAATATAATTACTTGAAGAGGGAAAACTTCAATTTCGAAAAGCTCTGCTTGTAACCGATTCAATTCTTCCATATTACTGAGAAAATGTTCCATTTCTGGTGTTTCCACCTTCTTTCCGACCAAACGATAGGCAGCATTCCTTCTGGGAATCTGAATATTGAAGCATCGGATTATAACTTGAGAAGAGAAACATACTGTTTGAGCTGCTGACACAAGGAAAAAGAATATCAAACACCTTATTAGGATGAGCATGAGGAACCAACTGAATGATCAGAGGATTTAGTGTGGGCATGGCATGTCAGATTATAACAGGAGATAACTCCTACTATATTTGGACATATCTTTACCTAGACTAATTCCATCATAGATATCATCTATAGATCAATAAAGATTATCCAGTATCTCCATTATTCTTGCAAGAGGCCAATCGGCATTCTTTTTACTTTGCTCCATGTGCTATAACTCTGAGAAATGTTTTTTGAACTTCTTGACCAAATTTTGAGCTTAGGTTGGATTCTTCAAATATTTATAATTTCTAGTGCATGCAGTACAAACCGATTTAGACGAAAAAGAACGAAAATATTAAAGCTATCAATTATTTATATATTTATAATACAGTCTTCTCAGAAAACTTTAGCTTTGAATGAGTATGAACCCATTGGAGAGTAGAAGTTGAGAACAAGGGTGTTGGTCGTGAAGTTGTAAACCTTGTTTGGAGAAGCTCCACCAGTAATGGTACTACCACTCAATCTGAGAAAGCAAGAGATTATCTCATTGAAAAAATGAGTTCTCACCTGATCTTGTCAACTGATGTATCTACAAGACTTCCTGACAACTCAACGTAAGAGCCGTTGGCTGGAAGACTGAGTTGGGAGAATTGAACAGAGAAACCCTTGTTGGTATCGAATTGAACAACAGTGGTACAAGTGTTTGATGGATAAGTTGTCAAATTCAGAGAGTTGCTGTAGAGAGGAGAGGTAATCTAGAAAATGACAGAGTTATGGATAGCCAAATGGAAAAGTAAACCTCAAGGGTCTTTTGGAATTTAGCATAATAAATTTGAGTGCAAGCATCAGGAAGTTGTCCGTTGAAAGCTTTAAGTGGTACTGGAACGCTGGTGGCAGCTTCAAGCAAAGAAATCATATTATTCAATGATGGTAATAATAAATACCTGTAGTGCAAAGAGTAGCCTGGTTGGTATGATCACATGGGTTTGTGGTCCATTGTCCTACAGCAGACAAACTAGAGTTGATGTTGAGGGCAGTGCATTGTCCGAGATATGGAGTATCAGTAGCTAAATACCAATGTGAAACAGTCATTATTAAACTTCAGTACCCAAGTTGGTATATGTAGGAGCAGTGTTGTTAGACCAAGTAGCAACATTGTTAGAGTCGACAGTCAATCCAATAGAAGCAAATCCGTCCTTGAATCCTTTAGACCGGAGAAGTCCAACAGCGAAACGGTTATCCTACAAAACATCAAATAAGGCATTTCCTCAGATTATTCTTTACGATATCAGAGTCAATTTTGGCTAATTGAGAACTCATGAAGGTACAGAACTGAGCAGATTGTGGCCAAGTGATTGGGTTAGAAACAACAGAGAAACATGTGTTGCCAGATTGGTAGAAGTTCACTGGGCATCTACTGTCTGAAAGATTTTCTCTATTTTTGGAAGTTATGTCTTGTTTCTCATACTGTCAGGAGTGATTTTACAAATATATCCATCAGCGATAATCAATGGGTTTGATGTTGATTGCCAGTAGTATTGGCTAGCAATCATCAATGGGAACAAATTATTATCGTTAGCTGAAATATTTCGATTTGAACCTCAAGCTTTAGCGAGAAACCAACAATATTTGTTGTTGAATGAAGTCTTGACTCCATCATCAGTGTAGCAGAGAGTGTTGTTCAAGCAATAGTTTCCAATCCACATCTGAGGATTGCCAGTGAGTAAGGTTCCAATTTTAGAATTGATCTGAAAGGCGTTGGAAACCTTGGTCACTGTTACTTCTTCACTTACGAAGCCATCAGTTATGGGAGCTAAAACAGCGTTATCCGCAGCACACCTTCTCTTGGCGTCCAAGCGATTGACTTTTTCGTACTTGATCTGACAACATTTGAATATGTGAGAGAGAAAAAAATAAGATTACCCCATAGCAAGAGCCGTCAGTGCCATCGAAATATCCGAGGGGGCAGGGAATATCCGCCAAAGATGTAGCTGTAATGACAATTGTTAAAATATTACTCACTGAATAGAATTACCTAAGATAGCGAAGAGAATGAAGAATTTCATGTTGAGAGCTTATCGAGCCTGCTTTCATTCTGTTTCTACACCTATTTATATACGCTCTTGGCCTACAGAGAAAAACTGATAAAGATTGATAAAATATTTATCAGAAGAGAATAATTATATCTTCATAAAATCATCACGTCATTTGAATGTAAAACTCTCAATTAATCTTTAATACAGAGAAGCTTGAAATAAATATCCCGTATGTTATGTATTAATGTTTTTAATATTATTTAGTCTCCTAGTGTAATAAAACCTTTGGATGAGAATTATACACAGTAATGTCAACTGAAATGATATATATCTCCCATTGCGTACATTTGACTTACTTGAAGAGCGATCGCAGAACTTATTCCGATTATTTCAATTATCTCGTTATGTCTTCTAATTAGCTTTCCATTCATCTCTTCATTCCTCATATGGTTGGTGCTCAAAAGTCCATTATCCGATGATAATATGATTATCTGCAATTAAAATCTTCAATACCAATTGCTTCTGCTATTTTTTGTTTGTAATCAACCGCTCAAGCCAATCGCATAAGTTAAATGAACTTTGAGCTAGCTTTCACGTTTACGTGAAATTCCCGTGAGTGTTATTCCGTGAATTTTTCGAGTTAAACTTCACGTCTACGTGAAAACTACGTGAGATTCCTGTGATAATCATTTTGTCTGTAGTTTATCATGTTCAGACATCAAAGGAATAAAAGCAAATTTTATGTCCAGGAAACATACCTCGCCCGCCTCTACATCCATAGTTATCACTTTCTTATCATCATCGTCATTATTCTTGCCTAGTATCTGGTGACTTCTAGGTCTACGATTACCATAGTAGATATCAGCTTCATTCACATCAGCGAAGACATCCCCGTCTTCAACTTCTTTTTCAGCAGCTGGAACCTCCACTGCAGAAGATAAAGATCGAGTGCGATATCCACTGTTTTCCACTGGTAAGTCCTTGTCTAGCCAAGAAGTGGATCTCGTAGCGTTACTCGGATTTCCTGAAAAATGAATAAGTATTCATTGCACTTTTCTATAATCCAAACCCTGTCCAACTTCTACAATTTCCAATCCGTATTCCGAATTAGGGTTGTTCTCATACTCTGCTCCACCCAGCCATTTTGAGGATCCTTTGTAGGCCTTTTGTGGCTCTATAGAATCATCATCATCGACTGTGATAGGAGATATTGAAGTCGCCGCAAACAAGTTTTCCCATTCCAATATAGCTTTATCATTCTCATTCTCTTCGTCAAGAGTTGTGCCAGCCTCACCAAAATGAGCAACTGATTCTGATAACACCTAAACTGATAAGAAGTGAAGTGAGACTACAAAGAGACTGAACCGACCTCCGACCCTTGAAGTTTGTTTTCTAGTGATTCAACAACTGGGCTCTTTGTGGCTTCTACCGGAATAGTTGTCTCTCGATGAGTTGTGGAGAATTCAGTTGAAGTCTTCGTCTCCTCACGTTCAACTGTTTTATAAGTTGTTTTTATTTGCCCAAAGGGAATCGGTTGACAGGTTGGAGGCTGGAAAGGATTATAAACTATATCTTTCGCGTTTTAATCTCACAGCGATCCCTTCACATCCTTGTTCTTCTTTATTACATAATGTCAGTCGGCAAGAAAAATGAACAGACATCTGAAACTTTCGAATATAATCGAGGGCGTGAAAAGGAATCACACCTGATCGGCAAACCTGAAAGCTCTCATGTTGGTTGTGACTGAACTTAGATCTACTGAGTACACAAGTTGAGGAACCAAGCTTAAATCCGTGGAACAACTTGAAAGAACTTTTTTTTATAACATTTATTCTATGCATACCCTCGCTCATCAATCATTTGATACTCTTCTCCTACATCATTACGAACAGTACAGGAATGAACCAAGAAGCCATGCATGTCTATTGGGAAACTAGAATTACTGACACTTCTTCATCCTGCTTACTACTATCGCACTGCCATTTATGAATTATATCCTCTCCAACATTAGCATATCGGATACGTGAACCATCAACGGTAGTGACATCATAAGAGCAAGATGGTTTTGTACTGTTTTCAACCTGTTCTTCTTGAAGTTCACTAGAAAACAGACTGTAGGTTATCAGTTAAATAGATTAACTATTGACTAAACGTCATGATAATTCTAAAGATAATAAGTCCTGTTCTTAAAAAAGGAACAAGAGAAATCAGGAACGAAAGAGGCTTACTTGATATTCAGATGCTGGGTTACGGTGCTATCAAGTTGGCGGTATATGCAATTGAGACGGTACGCACGATCTCCAGCAGTTATGAAAAGCGGATGGTGTTGGATGATCACAGTGGTTTCATAGGACACAGTCGTGGGATGAGTCTGGAAAAAGCGGATGGTAGGAAAAGCATGAAGTTCACAGAACGAAAGCGAATGTATGTGTTAGGCTAAAAGTCAATAAGCCACGAGTATTACAGTTCAGGAAGAAAACATCTTCAGATTGAAACTAATCCCTCATGAAGTTCTTAAATGTTTCCTTTTTCATTTTTTGCTATTCTTCCGCAGCTTCGAAGTTATACAAGACCGGTTGAGATTGGTCGAGTACATTTCTCAATGCCATCCAAATCTTCAATACAGTTCGGGCCGTAGCTCTTTCAATATTTTTTTGATCGTTCATCATCGTCCTTCGATATTCATTAAAGTAAGAAATGAACAAATATCATTTTGTTTGCTTTCACACACAAAAACACAAGTAAAATTGTGTGGAAGTGGTGGAAATAAGTGAGAATCATCTCTTTGTCGGACTTCAACCCGACTTGTCATAAACGATGAAATCATCTTCATTTCGTAATGAAATGGCAATTAATTTCCTCCTTATTATCATCATTAAATGAAAATTATCAAACTGTAAAACATACTGAATGATGACGACGAACATTGCAATCGCCCCGATATGGAATCTCCATGAAAAAATGATTAGAAATTCTTTCATGGCTGTAATCTACATGACAAGACCTGTAATTAAATTTGCAAAGAAATAAGAGAATAGTAAACTCACTTTGATTGGAAGAATCCTTTAACATAAATATGACCGGTGAATAATCCGAGGGGTTCTACTCTCAAACGTATGCCGTCTGAGGAACATTCCTGAAAAGTTACAATAACTTCTCTGAAACTCGCTTTCGATACTACCAGCTTTGGTTCTCGATACGAAATGCCAAACTGACTCTTGACAGTACTAATGATTACAAACAAATTAATTAGAATATAAAATATCATTTCCGAATAATATTAGTTAAGGGTAAGCGCTCGAAAAAGATCCTTTCGGTATAGTCTAAATGCAGCCTGAATTGCGGCATATGAGTAGGTGGGCGGACCAGCGTCTTTTCTTTCCGTAATCTGTTTTTGTAAAATTCTCTCCGAATATATGATATTCTTCTCCTCATACTTTACTTGCCCGAAGGTAAGCGGGAATGCCTGAAGGGATATGAGCCGGTACCGGTTACGATTAAGAATTACTTACTAATCCCATTAGATATTCCTTTTTTATTTCTGCAATTGATTTTCAAATCCGAATCGTTGCGGCCGGTCAACTGTAGATATTCTCAATGGTTTGTAATCCAACTAGCTTGCCAATTGATCTTCTCAGCCTCCAAACCCGTTATCCTTTCTAATGGTGGTGTGTCTCTGAAAAGCCTATTCGGTCATTGGCAAGAGCAAACTGAAGTTTGCATAATGTTGTTTATCCCTTTCCTTTGTTGGATTCACGTTTAATACCAGTTTCGGATAACCTTGCTAATTGAAACTGGAGGAAATCGCCTGTAGTTAAAATAAGAAACAATTAAGGCTTGTTCTAGACAACCGCACCCTACGTCCATCACGATAGAAATGAACGCTTACAAACAAAGAGTAACTCCACGTGAGCCACGTGTTTTATTATTCAAATTAAAATCTTCAACAAGATATATTCAATTAGGGTAGAAGTTAAAACATTGAAAAAATACAAAAAAAAGAAATACAATGCGAAAGGTGAAAACGTAAAATCACAGTTGGAAGCATATTTCTTCACCGAAACATTTCCTTCATAAATAAATTAGTCTTAAAAGTATTACATACATACATATATATATATTTGTTAAAATCTATGAGTATTCCAAGTTTTCCTTAAGATAAGTTGAAAATAGAAAAATATACTCGTGCATTAATAAAATCAGAGGAAGCTGATTGATAAAGACATTCTGTTCTTAGAAAACGGACTTCCTAGTACAGTCTAATTCTACAAGGTCTGTTCTAGGAAAGATAGAAGTAACTATAGAGATCAATTTGAAAGCCTTCTAGGCAAACCCTGAAGGAAGCTTTCATTCTAACTCAGGCGGGGGACTGTAGACTGTCTTCTCCTTGTAATATACTTCTTCGTGCTCTTTATCACATATTAATAACAGAGAAGCTCCGAATGTGAATAAAGTTGATCCCCAAGCCAGTCCGTAGGACCAATCAACCTAAAACATTTTAATCAGATTTCCATCTCATGCAAATTGAAGTACCTCCCAATCTCGTCGAGACCCATAATCTTTCATCTTTGTGTAAAATGCAGCCGGGAAGAGGACTAAAGCAATCAATTCCAACAAAACTATAATTAATTACTATAACAGTTAATCTTCAGATCTAAATGAATACCAGCGAAAAGAGCTAAGTAAGTAGCAATCTTATAGAAAATGTATTTTCTCCTTATATCCGACATACTCAGTCCACATATATTCAAGAAGAACGCTACTCCTGTGAAGATGAGAGCAATTATCATTAAAGCTGCTACAGCTTTAATATATGCTGAAAAACGGTTTATAAGTTTCGAAGCTCAATTTCATTTAAGTGCATGTTGTTCGACCTCATTTCTCTCACTGAAGTTCATTTCCATAGAAATCTCAAAAAAGTAAACAAAACAAAGACTATATACCTAGTTAAGTTCAAAAATAACCTTGAGGAAGAAGGACAATTTCTTTTATGAACAAACTAATCATTTAGGTCGGGGTTATTTTTTTTTCAAAAGACAAATTTAGGAATGAGTACGAATTTGAGAATATTTTGAGAACTACCTGAATCTCGGGCAGGTGGATGACACTTTCCGGGATGAGGACTATTTGGTATAGGTGGAGCGGAAGAAGGCTCATTGGAAGCAGTACACTCAAGGAATAATCCTGTTCGGAATGATCCCGATCTGAGCCACCATGTTGAGCAGACAGATACTATTCCCAAGATTACAGCTATACATAAGCATATCAGTGATATAACCTGAAATATGTAGTTTAAAAGAGTTCCTTGTTCAGGTTTGGTGGTTTGTAGATGTTTAAACTCTCTGAACCCCGAAGGATACGTGTTTGATCATTCAAGGCGTTCGTGAAGAAACATTTCGGAAAAAATAATGAAATTTCAAGTTTATATCATGTTTTTCATAACAACTTGAAGTGGTGTTGGGTCGTTGAGAGCTGAATAAAGGAATTACCTTTAATGGTCTTACGACCGAAACTGTCTCAATCGTAGTCGTTGTTTGAGCAGCAGCCATGTCTCTAGAATTAGTAGGATGAGTGGGAAAAAAAGAGAATTTAATAAGAAATTCTGAAGAACAGTTGCATTTTGGAGTATGATGGGAAGTTTAAGAGACAAGAAAGAAAAGCAAAGCAAGTGGGATGAAATGAATGAGGTGTGAAAAGAGATAAATAGTGACAGAGGCTCATGAGAAATATTATAAAACGTTGAGCAACACAAATGTAAAACGTGCAAATATCCCTAGTACATTGAAAAATAACTTTGAAATTGAAGTTGAATAGCATTAGATTGATTCAGAGGTATGCAGAGAAGTTATTCAATGAAATGCCAACCATCCTTATGGTTGATTGATTAAATTTAAAACTTAATTCGGACCTTGTGTGGAAGAATAGATGAAATCGTGTGTAGAAGTGTCCGTTGGATAGAATTCACTCTTTAGATGAGAATCAAAGAGCACATAGTGCTATATGGATTAAATGCAAAAAAAAAGCTGTGAAAGACTTGAAAGGCTGACAATGAGAAGGTAGAAAGCTGTCAACACCCGTTAAGTAAACAGTGATTCCTTAACTACTACTAACCAGCCATAAAACAGATCATAGATTTTAGATTAGTTCAATGATAAAGGTAGAAAAGTTACGAAAAATGCAAATGTTGTGGGTCGAAAGAGAAGAACGAAAAGCTGTTGGGAGTGAGAATCAGAAAACAAACAAAACACAAAAAGGTGGACGATAGAAGAGAAAGAGAAGTATGGTGAAGGAGAGGACACTATACGATAAGACGAATCAAATATAAAACATAGAATAAGAGAGTAAAAACATGATAAAGCGAAGTGAAGTTTGTCAACCAGCAAATGTCAACAAAGGATTTCAAACATTTAGCATCTTCTACAGCCTCTAAGAGTATTTATGCACATTATAATAAATCTTGTCAATTACAATTTAAAGGCTTATTGATTTGGCGCGCAAATCAATATAATTCTCATTTTAATAATTGCGTGGCTGCAGAACGGTTGTACATCTCTGCATGAAATCGATTTGTGGAGGGAAAGGTGAGAGAATTCATGATTTTATGGATAAACAAGTCAATTTTTGGAAATTATGAGCTAAGTGAGAAAACAATAAATGTTGATTTACATTACGCATACACTTATTTATACATTTTAATGCATGATGTTTAGTGTAAGAAGATAATCCCTAGGAATGACTAAGAGAGAGAGATAGTAAAGTAAGGAGATAGAAGAAAAGAAGGAAGAAAGACCTAGCCAGCTGGGCAGATTGATAGAAAGTCGAGGACAAACCATGAATGAAATAGTGTCCAACTATAAGACACACTAGAGAATTATGTTTAACCAAAACCATCTAACTTTCGAGTTAGTCCTTCTGGGGACGTTGTTGATGTCTCAGCCAATTCCAAATAGGTCAACCGTTCCGATTTTATTAGAAGATGGCCGAAATTCGTTTCTAGAAGTAAAATCGAAGCAAATAAGGAAATTTCGAAGCAAATTCATCTATGAACACGAGGATGAAGATCTGAAATCTTCAAAAATGGCTCTGTTTGATGAAAATGTTTTGACTGCATAGATGACCGTGAATGGAGATTTATAAACAATGATTGAGACTGAGATGTGACAGAAAAGAAAAAGAGTAATAGCTTAAATGGATTATAGCAGATCTTAAGGCAACTTAAAACCAAATTAATAACAATCTCAGCAACAGATGCTAGGCTCATACGATTAAGACAGACAGTTGGAATCTCCTTATGAGAATAGGGTTTGAATGTTTCAGAGAGAAATTAATGAAAAAGAGGTGAGAAAAAAGAAACAAAGGAGGAAGAAGAACCTTCCCCCCTCTTCAACCTATCGACAATGGTCGATTTATGTGAAAGGTGGGAAACTGCGAGCAAAAGATTCATAAAGTTTTGTGAGACAAGACTTGTTCATAGAAACAACACAAAATGAGGCCTTGTCTTGACGGTTCTAGTTTATTTTGGCTACTCAGGGCGGATTAGACAAATCGTTGGAGACGAACAAGGTCTAATTGTTGTAAAGAAAGAAAGTAAACGTCTAAGCAATATTAGACCTGCTCATAGTTCGATTTCAAACAGAATTGAAGTGAGGTTCGAGAAAAAACTTTTCAAATGTGTAGCAGAGAAGAGACACATCCGAAAGTTATTAGAGAGAAGAAAGTTGAAACCATGTGTATGTTGTTGGACAAGTAACAAAATACTCTGAAGTGGAATATAAATAGTTTTTCTCTCACTCAGAGTCAATGTAATCGTTTTGAACTTGGATCACAGAATTTAAAAAAGAACTTTTAAAAATACAGGAAAACAAAACAATCTATGGACAAAGGAATGTGTACAGCTTTGTTCCACCGACTAAAACATGTGTTGAGTGGGTCTTTGCACGAGAAATCGATCGCTGCACGTCCACTCCCGCAAGCTCCATTGGTAAAGAGAAGGTTTGCTGAGGGTGTAGCACTACTAGTCATATTACCATTGAAGCCCAAATATGATGAGTATGGAGAGAAGAAAGAAAATAAATTAAACGCTCACTAACCAAACGCTGACACTTTATAGATGAAACTTTGAGTAATCTCTTTTTACACAACTTGCTAGCTTGGGAAGATGAAGAAGATGAAGAAGAGTAAAGGCCAAAGTTGGTCGGAGAAGTCAAAAGATGACAAAAATTACTGTCGCCCTCACAGCATATTTTAAACTCCCACACATCCCTTTCAGACAACTCACTATGTACGCATTTCCTGTAGCATGAAAAGGAAGTAGTTAAGACATCTGCAAATTCCAAAAAGGCAGAAACATCCATTGAGGAAGTTATGAAACTGTTTTAGTATTGAAAGAAAGGAAAACAATCAATGAAACATTTGTGACAAAGTGACAACGTTTGAAACTTTGAAAGATTCTTCTTCATACTCGAGCCTGTTTTGACAGACAACTCATAAATATTGAGAATAAACAAAAGTTGAAAAAGTGAGCGATGCTTCTATATTAGTCCGCTGACTATCTTGAAGAAAGGGGGTGGGAGAGGACATTGTTGACAAAAGAACAATCGATTGGAAGAAATGAAGAATACATCAAATAACAAAGTATGAGAGTTAACAATTAACTTGTGGGAGAATATCATACATTCGAAAGAACTTATGTTGGAAGACAACCAGCATATAACTTTCTTGTTCATCTGTTCTGATGCAAATGAGTCACAAGTCAGGTAACCACCGCCTACGTCTTCCCTCCTTATATGATTCATTTCTTGATAACGAAATAAAACATACAGAAGAACGATCATGAATACAGAAATGGAGAATCGTTCACCGAAAGAGAAAAATAATAAAAAGATCTCAAGATAAGACTTAAAAGGAATGCACCCATCCACGGCGTCTTCGATCATCAAATAAAATCCCATTTTAATTTTGACGCCTAACTCAGGAATTGTTTGATGTTCACGAGAAAATGCACTAAACCCATGAAAAAAGATCACTTATGCTTCCTTCCACATCCTAGTTGTCCTTGGCCGAACAAATATTTTTGAATAAATTCCATTTTTTGCATTTCAGGTTATGGAAAGATTAAGTATGAACTGGAAAATCAAGCTAGGAACGAGAGGAAATTGTTGAGTATTCTAATATTCGAACGGAAATTAGGTTAGTTTCAACTTACTTTTCTGGAATTTATTAAAGTGATTGGGATAAATTGCCTAATAGGTTTCTTCTTGCGTTCGCTGACCCTCAAATGCCTTGTTTGTTCTTCTGGAAAATCTCTGCTGATTGAGCTTTTCGTACTTTATTGCGTTGCTTAAATGCTTAAAAGGCTTTTCCTCACATTTTACTACAATTTCAATGAGTTTTTGATGTTCTTCCAGCTTTTTTTCGTGCTAATTCTTTCTTTTTTTGTTGTCTTGAATAACATGGACTCTCAGAAGGTTAGTCTCGAGAAATCTCGCCATGGAGACAAGAGTATACTCATCCTGTTTTCATTTCCTAATTCAGTCATTTCGCTAATAATGCCTATTTCCTAATATTGATTTTTCTTAGAACATAAATTTTTCTTGATAAGAAACGTTTTCAGAAGCAATGGCGCTTAAGTCGGAAGGAGACTTCATAGCTGCTCTAACTGACTTCGTCGAGAATTACAACAAGTTCTCAAAAGAGAAATGGACGCTGCATAAGGTGAGCTAGCTATTGATAACTTGAAGAACTCCACATTGTTATTGCAGTCTAATAATGGTATTTTTGCTAAACAATCCGTCATGATCAAATGGAGAGAGATCGTAGTGAATAGACAAGTTCATATAACCTATAGTTCGGTTTATGGAGTGCCAAGTCTATGGTTCAACATATACAGAAGAGGTAAACAATCCTTTTCATCTGTTTCACACTTATTCTTCATAGATGGCATTCCTCTAACCGCAGACGAATCCCTGGAGCTCTCGAAACACGTTAACAATAACGGTTTTCTGAAAAACATGACACAGAACGAGCATCCTTATTTGGGGTTACTTTTCTACAATATCCATCCATGTCGCACAGAAAAAGTAATGGAACAATTGAGTGGTACAGGAAATTTCATTGCAAAGTTAGTCTTTAGCATTATTGATACACTAATATGCATTTTCAGATGGCTCTCCGTTTATGGAGCTCCAATAGGGGTTGAAGTTCCTCTGGAAATGTTCAATCAATTGCAATCTGATTCTTCCAAAACTGACGAAAAGATAGAAGCATAGTTAACTATCAGGCGCATCACATCAATCTTCATAAAGCATCCAGATGTTTTCCCTATAGCTATGTTCTACTGCGTAATTTTGTGATGTTGTCACAGACTAGACATTCCTTCACCTAAGCTTTGATCTCATTTATTGTACTTTTCATAACAACAATGCTACAATTGATTCCAAAGTAAAGTTCGTTCCCAATGAAAAGCAATCAATCACTGTTCTCATTAATTGAGTTGACTCAAATACAAATGACCGTATTATTCTAATTTTTCGCACGTCAACCGCGTTTACTAACTCACGGCAAAAACCACGGCGTCATTTAGAAAAAAAATGCAACGAAGAACGGTTGAACATAGGGGAGTTTAAATTTAAACGGACAGCGCATATTGGAGATCTCTTTTTTCTATCAGAAACATCTATTCCACTTTAGAACCTTCACTTCAATTTGTCTTAAGTCGTTTATTCAACAATCGTTTTTAAACTATCATTGTGGTATCTATGTAGAGATAGCTTAGTTGATGTTTAAACATGTGATTAGTGAAAACACAAAAATCAAAAACGACAATCGGAAACGTAACAAGCTCAGTTTTTTATTGTAGCATTAGGGCAGTGTATAAGTAACGCAGAGTGTTACGTAGGGCGCACTCACATTTTTTCCTACACGATCGTTACTTTGCAATTTGAATAAATACCTTCAAAAATTACTAATTAAGAGTGGTTTTGAGGTTTTTTCTGATCGTAATGAATCACTAATATCTTCCTTATCATTTCGTTTAACTGTAGTATTGAGAGTTCTTCGTTACAGGCTTTATAAGGGTTTCAATTTCTAAACCCTAACGTTGCAAAGCATATGTTGAGTTATTAAATTCATGAGAATGGGCTTGGAAATGGTTAACTCACCATGTAGTTCGGGTAAAACAAAGTTCGAAAAAGATCCAATTATGGATCCCTTCAAGGTATGCTCTGTTGTTCTAATTAACGTCATAGAAAATGTTCTAGTTGAAATGTCGCCAGGCATTTAATGGCCCACAGGACTTTGAAGTAGATGGATTTCTAGAGTTCAGATATAATGTAGGTGTTAACTTTCGTGCTTTGCTGATTACTCCGTTTAGGAAATGACGTTGAGAGGATCAATGACGTTTCGTTATAACCATATAGTCGATAACTTCAAACAAGAGTTGAGTATATCATTCCCTTATGTAGAAAGCTTTACGGTAAGCTGAGGCACAGACTAACAAACAGTTACAATTCTTATTAGCTCGTAGAGCCAAACCTTTTGGAAGGAGTTTGTGGTGCCTTGATTGTTGTACTAACGGAAAAATGTGCTTCCAAAATGCTTCCTTCGTTTGGATCCAAGGAGTTCATATCTGAGAAAATGAAACACGAGAATGAGTTCGTTGTTAACAATGACGTCGTTTGAGGTTCATATAGTTTTAGCTCCTCGATGACGAGATTCCTTTTTGTGCTCGAGCCTATCACAGACTTAGAGCATTTCTTTGAAGCGAATTCAGCAGACGAGACGCGGAAACTTTTTCCGTTCTGTGAACTAGAGCATCGATTTGATTGGGTAAGAATAACTGCTTCCCTTCATCACCTTCATCTTATATTTAGGTTGTGAAATCGAGGTCATTAGATACTAAGCGGGGTATTCATAATACAAATATTAATGTTTTCGGTAATTCCTCTTGATTCCGCTTCTCCTAATCTCCGGATTTTTCCAGAAAAATGTACGGCAGAGGGGTTCGTCAAGTATTTGGAAAGAAATTTGTTGAAGGTTATACCGTATGACCAAGCCATCGGTGCTAATTATGCTTATCAGCCTCCTATGAAAAGTAAGTTCACGAGGTATTGAGATATACATGTTGTTCTATTCATAGAAGTTTCTGATATATGTTTGCATCCCAAGGATGAGTATTATAAAAAGGAAAAACGATTCAAGAATAATGCAGGCGAAGTGGTTCTCTTCCTTCTCTCTTCTATTTTCAATGAAGTTTATTACAGCAAAACGGTACATACGATGAGAACGTTTTCTACGAACTGAATGACAATCGTAGTGATTATATACAGAACGATTTTAAAAGAAAGGTTGCTTTTTATAAAAAGCATGTTGGCTTTGAAGATCCTGCAACGAATGAGAATATTTTAGACAATATGAAAGCGTCAGTCACGTAAGAGTCATTCATTAATCTCTTTTTATTCATCCATATTCAGGCCTACTGTCAGGACTTACGGGAACGATTGTCAGAAACCATCACAGCACAACTTCACTTCCTCGCAGGTCAGTGTCTTGAAGACACAACTGTTCAACTCTTTTTTCATTTCAGTCAACTCCGTCAACATCGGAAACTGCTCGTAAGAGTACTCGTAGAAAAATATTGACTATCAGTCTGAGTGATGACGATGAAGGCGGGGACGATAAAAGCTCGGTACAGTTGATGGCTCTGCAACGAAGTAGTAAAACTGTTTTTCAGTCTTCTAACTGTTCCTTAGAACCTCCTGAAAAGAAGATGAAGTTCACAGGGAACACTTCCCTTATTCGATTTCCTTCTAGTGGAAGTAACTTCGTAGAAGGTAGTATCTTCAGTTCACAAGTCTATTAACCTTTGATAATTCCAGTTCAATTTGATGACGTGCGGGTCTTAGCTCATGGAGAGATGTTGAACGATACCATTGTTGAGTTCTATATCAGGTATATCGTTCATAGACTGTTGAAGAAAACAGAGTAAGTCTTTCACGCAAGTTCAGTATACCTTCATTCTATTCAGCATTAGTAAGATACACATTTTCAATACCTTCTTCTTTCAAAAACTCACTGATCGTCAGCCCGCTCATGTCTTTGGGAAGTCTGAGCGAGCAGGCTCTGTTCGCTATGCTTGGGTTCGTTGACTCCAATCGTAACACCATACATCTGTGAGTTTCAGATCAAGAACAACTATAAACTAGTCAAATCTTGGACCAAGAAAGCAAATATTTTCGAAAAAGATTACATAATAGTTCCCGTAAATGATGATCTCCATTGGTGAGTGCCTTACTTCAATCTATCAGAGTATATCAAGCTTTGTAGGTATGTTGTGATAATAGCGAAACCAGCTTTAGCTGTTCTGAGTACGGAAGGTGATACTTCTCAATCCCGGAAAAGGGGAGCCACTTGTGCAAATCCTAAATCTCATTTAATTGTTTTGGATTCTCTTAGAGACTCCGCGGATATCAAACGGTAATCCCAACCCTCTCTCTCCATTTAGTTTCAACTTATAACTGTTCAGTCGTTGTGTTATTGATATTATTCGTGATTACTTGGAATGTGAACTGGAGGATAAGAAAACCATTCCCGGTTTCTTCAACAGAAGACTCTTAGGAGCCGTTCATCCTAGAGGATTACCTCGGCAACAGAATTATGTAGATTGTGGGTTGTACCTTCTCGGCTTTGTTGAAGCTTTTATGACCAAACCTATGTCACCTCAGGTAATTTGAATAACGAATATATTGAGTGTTCAATCCTAAAATTCCAGCAATTGAGCGATCCTACAGAAAACTGGTATAGTTGGTATCCCCACTTCAACGTCAAGATGAAGTTTATGCGAGAGAAAGTTTTAAGATTTATATTAAAGTTAGCTGGTCCCGAGGTACTTATACGGATTATGAATTATCTATAATTTATTCTTTTTAGAAAGTTGAGCAACTGAAAGCATATGAGTTATCACAAGGTCGTGGGGCTACAGTACCAACTATGGAAGGAATCGTTGATGGTTTGATATCTCCTTATGGTTTGATAATTAATGAATAATGTTTTCTAGAAGGAAGAAGACCGAGGAGACATACTATGACAGGATATTTCGAAAGTACAAAGCATTCAAGTTTCCAATCTAGGTGCCCTTCTGAGCCTCCAGATTTGAAGAACTTCCCTCCACCTGCAGGGATGACCGTCCCAAAAAATTAGAGATTATGCATTTATATTTGTATACACAGTTGGATATTCAAGAATCAAAAAGTCGAATTATTTTATCAAATTTGTAGTATTACATTTGTTACTTTGTTCTCAAATGCACATTTTTGTCATATTGTCCATGTCGCGCTCTATCGCGAATTTATTCCTCTGCGTCTCTTTTCGAACATTCTCATCATTTTTTCTTCTACGGGGTATGTTCTCGTAATCTCCGTTCAGGGATTTTCCGTTAATAATGTATAATTAAATATGTTACTAACTGATGTCTTAACTTGTTAACTTGTTAAACTACGTTTACAATATCTTTTTCTTCTCAATTTCATACTCTAATTCTTATATTTAAGCAATCATGAGTATTATGAGCTATCACGGAGGTACCATCCTGGCCATGGCCGGAGATGAGTTAGTCTAATATACTAATATAGAGTACTATTAAGTTATTCAGATGTATCTGCATAGCTTCTGATCTTAGAGTTGGTGAACAGATGACTACTGTAGCCGTGGATCAGAAAAAGGTTTTTGTCATCAAGCAACTGTTTGTCATCGTTTCTTCTTGAGGTTCATAAAATTGGAGACAAAGTTTTTGTCGGACTTGCCGGATTCAACACCGATGCCAAGACTGTGCTGGACAAGATATCTTTCCGTAAAAGCTTATATGAACTGAAAGAGAATCGCAAAATCAGACCTGAGGTTCGATCTTCGTATTCGTTATAACCAGCTAAACCTTTCTCTTTTCAAGGTTCTTGCTACCATGATTTCAAATCTTTGCTATCAACACAGATTCGGACCTTATTTCACCGAACCTCTTGTTGCTGGATTAGATCCCATCACTAACAAGCCTTACATATGCGCTATGGATACTATTGGTTGTATTGCTTCACCCAGAGATTTCGTTGCTGTCGGTACCGGACAAGAATACCTTTTGGGTGTTTGTGAAAGTAAGTTGATGGTAAAACAATCTGCAAATTTACATTGCTTCTGTCAGGTTTCTGGAAGGAGAATATGAATAGTGATGAGCTTTTTGAAGCAACTGCCCAGGCTATGCTTTCATGTCTTGAACGTGATGCTGCTTCTGGATGGGGAGTTGTCGTTTACACCATCACTAAGGATAAGGTGAGCATATGAAAGTTATATTTAAGCATCGAGTTTTCAGGTTAACGTCAGTACTCTCAAGGGGCGAATGGACTGATTTTTCATTATTTATTTTGTTTTCATGAAGCCTCATTTGTCCAATCTATTTATAATCATAAGAATGAATAATTTCTTGATCTTTGTTCCATTTGATAACAGGAAACTTGCACCATGACTTTCGTCCTGGCATGAGTCTTGAGTTGTGTTCAGCCCGGCTGCGATACGGAAATCGCTTGGATATCATGATCCATGATTCCAATCTAACTGTTGATTTGGCGCACAAATTTGTGGGCGTGGCTCGGCACACGCGGGAACGGTTTTGGTTCAAAAAGGAACTGTCGACTTTTTGTTAATTTTTTTCTTTCGAATCATGGATATTGATGTTCCTTTAAATCCGTCAACTTCCGAAGATAAACATAGGCTTTCAATCCTTGGTGGGTATGTTCGTAAACAGTTTGAAGTCATTCCATTCTAGAAGGTAATGAAAACAATATGCCATCTTCATGTGATACACGTAAAACCCCTTTAACTGGTGCTGGTAGGAATATGTATTTTATACTCAATCATTTATTTCGTTCAAGAATATCTATCACTAAACAATAGTAGGAAACGTTATTCCGACTTCAACGATGATCACGCCAGCATGTCTATGGATATTTCTGATAAGTTATTATAGGTTTTAAGTGTTAGGATCAAGACAGTTTGTTTAAGTATTCGTTTGAAACCTGATATCGTTACTTTTGCCCGTACCCCAGGCATTTATAAATACAGAAGAAGAGTTAGCACAGAACCTAAGATAGGTAGGTGTCCCCTTTCGTTTTCTTTTTTCAAAGTTTTTTTCAGATTTTTTTTCCGTTTTCAATATTCCTACCCATGTTATACATGTCATATTCTCATTCCTTAATAAGAAAGATCTTGTAAATGCAATGAGTACTTGCTGTCGTTTCTATGTGGCCGGGTAAACTGTCTAATCATCGCGATCATCATTCATTGTTTTCTCACAGATTGACTGCTCCAAACTGGATGAGGCTGGATCTGTACCAACGTACTATTCCTGAAAATACACTTCTCAATCTGTTGAGTAGGAAAACGCGAGTAGCCCGCTTATCGGAAACGATGGTTTGTTAGGAATGGAATTGCTAGATCAATCAGGATCTTTCACAGATCACTCCGTCCATTCGAAACGCATCTTTTTTCACAACTAATACTGAACCACTGACTTTCATGTTAACTCATTTGGATATTGGAAGGGCCTCTTTCCCTTCCATAGACGGACTAATTACTATTCTAAGCGCATGTAGGAAATTGAAAGTAGGTCTCACGTTTCCATCTTGATCATTAATATTTGTTTCTAAGGCACTATCGTTAGAGAGTCAATCACTTGATGATGACGGCCTAATTTGTGAAGCTATTAGTATGAACCGTGATCTGGATTGTTTAGACTTATCTATGGTGTCTGGGTTTGATCTCAGAGGAATCGAAGCTATTTGTATTGGATGTAGAAAGTATGTGAAAGCTGATTTCAATATACTTAACCTGTTTAAGGCTTCGTTTCCTAAATATGTCTTGGGTCGGGTTAGGACGTGATTGCATCGCTTCCCTCTGCCGTCACTTGCCTGATACCATAACACACCTAAATTTGTCCGGCAGTAAAGACAGAAATTCTATTTCTGATCAAGGCTGGTTTGAAAAGAGAGAAGCTCTTGTAATTAGACACTGTTCTAGATGTGGAAAGCTTATGTGCTTCCTGTCCGAGCATCGTTGAATGTGACTTATCTGATAATGTATCCATCACTGATGTGGGGTTAGAGGCTATTCTAGGATTAGAAAATTTACAAGTCTTGTCTCTATCTCGATGCTACGGGATAGATCCTTTCAATTTTATGTATGTTTCTTTCTTCTTCCTTGTATCATTCTGTGTTTTAGGTCCTGTGGACATCTTCATCAATTGAATATCTTTGGAACAATGACTGAAGACGGAGAGAGAGTTCTGAAATTGACTCTGCCAGGAACACAGGTATATTCATATGTTTATTCTATACATGCATCTTTGTTTCTAAGATTAACACCTCCGTGTTCAACCATATTGCCAAACCAACGGTGCCGCCCTCTGTTTCGAGTATTTGGAATCAGAAGACGAGAGACTAGATAGGAATTTTTCAAGTTTTATCAATTTCAGAAAGAGTTTTGTAAGTATTTTTGTTTTCATGCCTACCATACACTTCGAAGATTGTTCGTTCGTACCCTTATATTTCGAATTCTGGTCCTTGTAACCCTTTTCTTACACGTCTGGAATAACCTTGCCTTTCATTAACTGAAGCATAATTTGTGATTACTGATGAGAATATATTCCATATATTTAACAAATGAATTTGAATTTCTTTTTATGTTCAAGACACAATCTTGAAAGCTGAAGTGCATTCCTTACAGAATCTCACTGATTGCACAGATTTCCAAGGTGATCCTGCACCTGCCATAGCGTGTGCCTTCTTGCTGCCTTCTAAAACTTCGCTTAACATATTCAATTACCTCTTGCGCACCTTGTGTAAGATCGCCGGTGGCGAAAAACAAATGGTATTTTCCTTGACTCAAGGGATGGATCTTCAAACATGATAGTTGTGATCGAATACTCTGCTTACGCTTACCAATTTCTTCTCGTTGTCTAATACAATTGTCTTATCTAAGAACCATTCTGCTCCACATAGAGCTCGTCCATTATTTATCTCCGCATAACTATCTTTCAAGAGAAGACTGCTGGCCTGTGTGAATATATAGGAGTGTTAGTAAACTTGAGAGCATTTACTTTATTCAGAATCATGTTGTTAGTTTGGGCATTGTGAGATAAGTGAACTGAACCTTGTCCACTAGATGGGAAGTGACATTCGAAGACAGTATCATTTCCCTGCGTGATAATGATCTATTTGAGAGCTGAGCTTGAGCTTACCATTCTTTTGTCTTTTGACAAACCAAATCCTATCCAACGTGATGTTTGACTTTTTAGTTCACTCTTTAAAACAACAGTTAACTGTCACGGTGTGTGAAAACCTCGAGCTCCAGTTTGAGTGACCGTCCCTCATGCTTCCAAGTAACCATAACAGAACACGTTTCCTGGTTAGAACACCCGGGGGGTAGCATCCAGCATCCTCTTGTTTTTCCGCAGTCAGAGATATGGGTGACTTGGAAAGCTTGTATAACCTGGAAACGATGAAATGAGACAAATAAACTAGCTATAACTGAGTTTCTTCCATTTAAACGAACTCTGACTCAACTCTAAAGAGAGACAAAGACGATCATCGAATATTCAATCAAAATTTGATTCAGATGCCTACTTGGCAAGATACAGAAGCTCAGAGTTTCAAAGGCGCCTCTTTTGGCTCGCCTCCAAGATATGGTCCGACTCAACTCTGACAATTGAGCGAGACGATCTCGGCAAATGTTGAAAACTGATCGAAAAAAATATTTTTATTTAGTTTTTTCTAAAATTTGGAGATCATACTAATTCGAGTCTGAAACGAACGAATAG